ATTGGCCAAAAGAAAGAACACCTGACCCTCGATCTCAAAATCAAAGTGATTTGAGTTCCAGAAAAAACGACGAGTTCGTAATGGATTCGGCAACGACAACGGCGGCCGGAAAAATCCCATCTTTTTTCAAGCTATGGTTACAGTTGGCGAGACGATGATGATGGGGAATACCTGGTTGATCATCAAACCCACCCCTCAGAATGGGATCTTGGAAACTTTTCAGTGACATTGAGCCGCCTGTCGATAAGGAACGCCTTGGAAGTGCTCTGTTGGGAATAAGTTCTGCCTTTGACGGATCCTCTTCCAATTGCTGGAAGACAATGCTTCTGGAGAAGAAAAAGGAACAAGGTTTTTACTTCTCATTTATCCTCTTCCAATTTACTTTTTTAATTTTGGGTGACATTACTCGTTTATCCTCTTTTAATTTTTGCGTCTCTCATATGCAGCTTAATTTCTGAGCTCTTTTCTGTTGGTGGTGTACCATTTCAAGATCAATCAGAGGACATTGCTTCCCCTAAAGAAGAAGAGGAAAGAAAAAGAAAAAGGTTTTTACCAGTTTACTTTATCCATTTTTTTCTTTTTTAATTTCATCCAGGTTACATTACACCAAATTTACACCTTAATTTCTGAAATATTGTTTTTCTGTTGGTAGGACTCAGCTTGTAGATCCATCACCTCCCCAAAATTTTGAGACTTACTGTAAGCAGAATAAGGTAAATGTTTGTTGTTGGTGTTTCCATGCATTCTTTACATTCCTTTTGAATTGCATTTATTTACGGCCAAATCCCCAAATCTCTCACTGAGCTTTTTTTCCTAACTGGATTTCACACCTTAAAAAGAATTTTAATTCAGAATTGGATCACAAAATCATACCCCTGTTTTGATGACTTTGAAATGCAGAGTTTAAATTTACAATCCTACAAAACAAAACCCATCAAAGACAACCATTGAAACACATTTCTTTCTGCAATTTTTTATATGCTATATATAATGTTTGTATAATTTACGTAATTTTTAAAGTTTGATTAAGGAATATGAATTTCATCCCACCAAACATAAAGTTTATGTTTGAGTACTTATGGTATATTCAGAATAGGAAAGTGAAGTTAAGGAAAAGACACTTAGCTCTCAAATTGCAGAATTAAATGATGAAATTGGATATGTACAAATAATAATAATAATAATGAAATTGAACAATTAAAGAATAATATCATACTCCTAAATCTGAAGCCTGACGTGAAAACAAGGGAAGCAGATGAGCGTCAAAATACAAATTGTAGATTTTGTACAGAAGCGAATGTGTAAGTTTGCCCAATTGAAGAAATAGAAACTTAGGCTCGGTGCACGATTATTGTAGTTTTTGAGTTTTTATAAATTTAGTAACTTTAATTAAAAAACTCATTTACTTTTATTTGTTTTTACATTATGTTTCTATGATTATTAAAGAAATAAGAAACAAAAATAGTTTTAATATTATTAAACTAGTTTATACTTTTTGTAGTTAAGATTCTGTAATGACAAACCCACCCCTTAGTTGAAGTGGAGAGAGTCAGTGGCTTAGGAATCGTGATTGTGCTGCTTGGGATGAATGAGGGCTTCTAATTGTTATGGATGGAGAGAAGAACTTCTTTCTCTATAGCCCAAAGGAAAATGATTGGGAGATTTAAGGATTCACTTCCCAAATTAGAGGCATGCTTATTCTTTTCACCCTTATTTATATGTATCTTATCCCTCATTTCTAGTAGTAATTGCCAAAGTTTCCTATGTATATAAAATAAGTAAAATAAATAAATAAATAAAAAGAGAGAAACTATACCAATAAAAATAAAGGTCAATTTTGACTAAATAATTATTTAATATTAAATTTATTTTAAAAAATAAAATAAAAATAAAAATTTTTAATTTAATTTTAATTTTTAAAAAGTTGAATCTACCAAATCCAGTCTAGGACCCATGTGGTGTGTTTTGGCCTTTCAACCCCTAATCCAAAATTGAGTCAAACCTATTACCCCAATATCAAAAGCATTAATCTGTTAACAGGGGTCATGAATGTCTATTCATGGATTATGGAAATGATACTTACCATGCAATATCACGGAACAAGTTATCCCGTGACATGACAAATGAATATGCCTTACAAGTTCTACACATAGATAACACTAAGGGGTCAACAATGAGGGTGATATATCCTTTCTTTGAGGACATTGGATGGCATGATAAATTGGAGAAGAATCTATTTCTTGGAGGACACTAATCAGTGCATGCGGGGTGAAGTATTTCTAAAGATTAGATATGCTTTTGTATGCATATATTTTATTTTAGGTTAAATGCCAATTTTGGTCCCTCAACTTTAGAGTTTTGAACAATTTTTGTCTCTCAACTTTTTATGCACTTTTTTTTCTCTCAACTATGAAAAATATTTTCATTAATTAGTCCATTATCTCTGTCTAAATATGCACATTTTTAGTCTCATATATGCACATTTTTTGTTTAAAACCCTAAGATTGAGGGATCAAATTGACATTTAACCTAAAATAAAAAATATACATATAAAGACATACCTAATCTTTAGAAATACTTCACCCCGCATCCAGTCAGACATTCACCATACTTATCAATGTCCTCCAAAAAATTACATCTGGGTAGATTCTTCTCCAATTTATCAAGCCATCCAGTGTTCTCAAAGAGAGGATAAATCATGTTCTCAAAGAGAGGATAAATCACCCTCACTAATGACCCCTTAGTGTTATCTATATGTAGAACTTCTAAGGCATATTCATTTGTCATGTTACGGGATAACTTGTTCTGTGATATTGCATGGTCAATATCATTCCCATAATTCATGATTAGACATTCATGTCCCCAGTTAACAGATTAATGCTTTTGATATCGGGTAATAGGGTTGGGTCAATTTTGGATTTGGGGTTAAAAAGGCAAAACCATGATGCACCACATAGGTCTTACACTGGAATTGGTAGATTCAATGTTTTAAAAATTGAAATTAAAATTTTTATAATTTTTTATTTTTTAAAATAAATTTAATATTAATTAATTATTTAGTAAAAAATTATGAAATTAATATTAACTTTAATAATCTAATATTCCATCCATTTATTTTAGTAAATTTAATTTTTTTATCTAGTAAAATAAAGTTGTAATAATTTATTGATAAAATTTCATATTTATCCCTAATTAGTATCACTTAAATAGGACTTTTTATTTAATATAGTTGTAATTATCTTTTAAAATGAGGGTAAAATAAAAATAAATACATTAAATAATATCCTAAAAAGGAAAAATGGAAAACTAAATTTGAACAACCCAACTAGAAAATTAGGTCTAGTAAAGTTGAATGGGGAGAGTAAATAATAACTATTTCATATATTTAATTTTATTTTACATTTAAAAATTAAAATTAAAA